GAGTGGCAATAAAGTTTAAATGTGATTCGGGTTGGGGACAGTGCATTTGCTTTACGGCGAGAAGGACAGGTTCAAGTCTGCCATTAGGCAGTTTGCATGTTCTCTCCAGGTACTCCCGCTTCCTCTCACACTCAAAATGTAGTTAAGTGTGCATGTGAGTGGGAATGAGCCCTGACAGACTGCTGACCTGTCCATGGTGTAGCCTGCCTGTCAGCCTAACGTGATTCGGGGGGAGGTTGTTTTGGGGTTTTTTGGTTAGTTGGTTCATTTAAAAAAAAAAAAAGAGAGAGAGACTCAGCTGGTATGAGTTTCACACCACGTTTCTGCAGGTTAAACGACTTGATGAGCTTGGAAGACGAGTCATGTGAAGTGTTTGTTTTTAGCTGAAGTCATTTTTCTCGGATTGTTAGATTCTGTGTGTGTGATGTGCTTCTGTCATGAACCTGAGAGCTGGTGCACAGTAGCCACTCATTTAAACTCCACCATTGCTGTTTTGAATATTTTCTGTGTTTGGTCTGAATTAACTAAAACTTCAGACACGTTGAACAAAAGTTAAATCATAAAACTTCTAAAAAAACAAAGTTAAACTTAGAAACATTTGTATTTTGCTGCTGGAGGTTTGGAGTACGTAGAAATGTGAACTGCTTACAGTCAGAAAAAATGTGTACTAATCTGCTGTAGGTTTCTGATTGTGTGTTTGTGCTCACTTGTGTCTCAGGTATGTGACACACCTGATGAAGCGTATCCAGCGCGGTCCAGTCAGAGGAATCTCAATCAAGCTGCAGGAGGAGGAGAGAGAGAGGAGGGACAACTACGTCCCAGAGGTCAGTTCACTGTCTTCTGTCCTACCTGTGACGGCTGACTGCCCGTGCCTTAGGTTGCGCACCTTGTGTCGGGCTACGTTGAGCTGCCGCTCAAGTGTCCACAGGTTTCCTTAAGCATCTTTGTTTTCACTGACCATTTCTCTCCAGCTGTTGCTGGAGTAAACATGGAGGTGAAAGGACAGTTCAGGTGGCTCATTTGTGTCTCTCATCCTGTAGATTTCTGCTCTGGACCAGGAGATCATTGAGGTGGATCCAGACACAAAAGAAATGCTCAAGATGTTGGTGAGTCTCAGATGTTATTTGCTGATTTATTTGGTTGCCACATAATTGAAAGTCCTTCTGAATTTGCAGCAGAACCCTGACGTATGATTTCCGTTAGTAACACTTAATATTTTGATAGAGAACATAATGGGCACATTGCAAAGAAATTGCCAGGTGTAATTTATCAATAATAGCCTTTTAAGTACCAGTGTGTTTAGTGGGGGTGGGAAGGAAGTAGTTCTACACACATTAAATGAGTGCATTAAAAGGGTGGAGCAATCACCTGTTTTGTTTTTTTTTTAACTGACATTTACATTTTTTTTTTTACATTTTTAACTGACTGAGTCTTTGCAGAGTTAAAGCATGCCCATATTTATACGTCATGCGTCCAATTTAGGCTGTGGTGTGTGGTTAGAGCAGGGTGAGCAAAATTAAGAATCCAATACATTAATAAGCAGAGAAAAGATAAATATAGAAACAGAAAACACTGGCATGTCTTCTTTTTCTGTGACTTCTGTCAACTTTTTTCTGAGTTTATGGACTCAGAAAAATGTCCTGGACATGTTACATCCTGTGGGAAACACTAACATGATGGAAATGTTCATCTAGAGGCTTCATAATTGGACTTTTGCTAAACACTGACTGGCATCACAATGGCTGCATCCACCTGTAATCCAGTCGGGGTAAAAATGAGAAATAGTCTGGGCAACAAAGTCACTTGTTTATCATTAGTTTTTATTTAGTCTGAGGTGTCATTGCTAGCTGAACTGTCATGTCACAGCTTTTAACTTGGTTATTTAAATCACTAAAACTTTCTTCTTCTTGTAGGACTTTGGTGGCCTTTCCAATCTTCAAGTCACTCAGCCATCCATCGGGATGAACTTCAAGACGCCACGAGGACTTTAAAATCATGTTTGATGGCCTCTGAATAAAGACAGTTGTTAAAAATGTTCAATTTAAAGCTTTCTGGATCTTTCCTAAAACATACATGAACATTAAGGAGTGCACGTTCTCATCAGCCAAACTGCCCTTACTGAGAAAGTCAATAGAAGCGCTTTGGATAGGTAGTAGTGGTAAATGAGAAGAGGCTCATTGCATCATGGGAATCCACAGTATGGCCATGGTACTTTTAAGTGAATTTCAAGTACTCAAACACTATTCTGCTTCAATAGTTGGGCAGTGGTATTAACAGAATCAGGTGCTTCTAATGTCTTGTGCTTCTGGTAATGTAATTGCACTGGGCTGAGTCGAGTCACACAAAGTAGTTGGTGTAATTAACCCTCATAATGTCCTCCCGATTTCCATACACCTGTGGTCAAACATGTCCCCACTTCATTTGAGTGTTTTTTAAAATATAAAGTATAAATTGTCAATTAATTCAGTGTTACACCTTAGTTTTACTTAAGACCAACACATTAACACAAAATTTAGGCAACATTTTACATTTTAGGGCCACCAAACCTTGTTTACATAAAGTTCACTGTGTTTTCAAGTGGAAATAAAACAAGAAAATAAAATATTTAATTGATTAGATAATTTTGACTGACTAACTACAGAGTGCTGTATGTTGAACTTTAGTGAGAAAGTTTTTTGTTTTTTTTTTTTGAAGCCTTTATAAATTTTAAATGGCAGCACATAATCCCACCTGTGGTCCTCAGGGGTCAAAAATGTCTCCATCTAGTTTGATTGATACTTAATTAATATGAAGTGGATTTTTCCCCCACTTTTAATTAAAACTCAATTCAAACATTTTGACACAATTTTTTTTTATTCCATTTCAAATTTAAGTCTGATAAAAACCTCATAAAAATGATTTTTTTCTTTGTTTTCAGGTGAAAAATAAATCATCAGTTATCGTGAGGATCGTTTCACAACCAGTCGGTTGCTTTAACAGACGGGTTTATGTCAAAGTTAATTTAGAAAGCTGTTTTTAAACTACAAGTTTTTTACTGGCAGCAAATAATCACATCTGTTGTCCTCTGGGCTCAAAAATGACCCCGTTTGCTTTGACTGTTTATAAAGCAACAAGTATAAAATATCATCCATCTCTGTGTTTCAAGGTTTTATTCAACTTTATTCCAACTCATTACCCGACAGTTTTCTATATTTTGGCATGGTAGGACACCAGGGCATGAGTCTGAGTGAAGGCAAACTTTCATGAGGACAAAGGTGTGTCCATATTTGACACAAGTGCAGGAGAAAGCTCAAGTTTATTCCTCTGCACTGGTCCCATCATGGACAGCTTTCTTTTCTGCAGTTGCAGGCCAACAAACAAGTTGTTACAGGTGATTGTTTTCTTTTTGAAACCTGTAATGTTAGGGACAACTCGCGTGTCCTGACTGCAGGTCAGATAGTTTGCCATCGTGCACTAGCATGTTCCATGTACAGCTGGACCTGCATCACATGCTGCCCATATTTTTATCTCATAGTTCCCTGGTTTACTTGGGATGTTCTGTTGGAATGGACAGAGTCCTCTGAAGGGGACTTGGTGCTCATACAGTCACATCAGTACCAGGATCTTACATCACAGCAGGAGAAACACCCACTTGTTCCATACACCTCAAATGGGAGCACGTTTGTGTCGTGAACGATGATCATCTATTGTGTCTTTATCAAGAAATGTCCTTTTTGCGATTCTATGATTAATCTTGTGTCACCTTTAAAACTTCTCTACCAGACTCAGGATGTCATAAACTGGCCGTAGCGACTCTACTGGATGCACGGCAGTAAGAATCAACACACCCACATATGCCTACAGCTGCATTCGATCTATTTTTCTTCCTCTCTCGTCGTCCCTCCTTTTTTGTCATTGAGTTGGCTGTAGAGCAGGTCATCTGCTAATTGGATGGTTGTTGGTTCAGTCTCTGTGTGCTCTAACTGGAGTTCTTACCAAGGTGTCCTTGGGCAAGTTACTGAACCCCAACTTGGTCTCTGATGCATCCATTGGCATGTGAACGTTAAAAAGCATAAAACAAGCAGAATACACTGTGTGTAATGCTTTCAGTACTTGAGCAGAAAAGCCACTGAAGGAGTATGGGACCTGGCGTATGTGCTTGGACTGTGGTAGATTGTCTTTCTCTGTGGCACATGAGAGAGTCAGGCATCGTCTGTCACTGGGGAGGATAGAAGACCAGATCAGTGTTTCCTCACGTTACTGCAAATATTCCTCTGTCTCAGCCGACTCCTCTTTCCTGTTTGATTCTTTGTCTTCATCATAATTGAAATGGAAGATGTGTAGTCCATTCTGAAAATTCACGAAACCCAGTCACTTTCTTTCCAAGCTCCTCAGACTACCATGTCCTGGATGCCTGAGAACCTACTTGAACATAGTTCAGATTCTTCATCACTTTCCTTCACTTCATAGCCTTCTTCCACTTCTGCAGGTGGGTGGAGCCTAGCCCAGCTGTCAAAGGGCGAGAGGCAGGGTACATCCTGGACAGGTTGCCAGTCTGTAACAGGGCTGACAGTGTGACCATTGTACTCCCATTCACACCTATGGCCAATTTAGGTTGATCCGTTAACCCAACCCCAATAATTGCATGTCTTTGAACTGTGGGAGGAGGCCAGAGTACCTACACAAACTCCACACAGAAAGACCCCACCCTGATGGTGCAATTGAACTTAGGACCTTGCTGTGCAGCAACAGTACTAACCATGCTCTGGATACCAACTATTTCTCTTGCACAAAACTGCCAATTTAGATTTCAAGCACAACATTAAGGTAGATTTACATGAAATTAGTGTTAGGTTTAGAAGCAACTTGTAGGTAAGGTTTGACAAGTTATTAACGTTTATCAACCTTTGAGGGGCCTGTGATGTCCTATTTCACACCATTCCCCAAGCGTTTGGATGGTTTAGTTGGGCTGGTATAGAAGCTGTGCGCGTGTCAATTTCAGCTTTAATTTTGACTACAGATGTAAAACACTGCTTTGTGACAGGGGGCGTCTTCTAAACATGTCAAACCTTGTAATTTGCCATTGGTTCCTTTCACCACAAACCATATAGCTCAGTGACATTCCACTACCCAGTTACCATCACGTTTCCTGGGCTTACAGTTTACCATCTCTTGCAGGTGTGATCACCTCCTTAATTAAAAATCAGTTTAGCAGCGACCTGCAGAGGCTGTTGACCGAGATTTCAAAGAAATGACAGCACAAACAATTAGGAGTCCAGACATTGCTAGTAATGCTTAAACACCTTTATTGTGCCCAATCTGAACATACTCCACAACTGTTAAGTAGCAGCAAACTTGGCAGACCACAATGAGGTAGACTTTCAAAACTCTAAAAAGCAGCTGGGCTAAGGGACAACAAGCTCAGCATGACAAACCTAATGGATAAAGAAAAGACACTTCGTCTTTGGCACACAGCTTATTATGCATTTATGTCCAACTGGAACAGGAAGGCAAAATGGGATAAGAAAGCATTGAATCATGTACTGGTCTACTCAAGCTCTGGGATAGATAATTTATCATCAGCTAAGTGGAAGTTCTTACATTCAACAGGAAACAAGCAGCTGTTCTAACATAGGCATGTCCCCCTGCCGATGTACAAAAAGTGATTAAAAACCACTGCCACCTCTCCACACGTGCAAATTAAAAAGTGCAAAAACAGAAACCAAACTATGTACAAATGATTTGCTCACTGTACTTTCATCAAGATCCATCAGTTGCTTGGAAAAAAGAAAAATGGATTACCAGTTGAGTTATCCAGTACTACAGTTACATTTAATATAACTGGACCAACAAAGTCGAAGTAGTACATCCAACAATTTGTGCCCATTCAGTTGAAATTTGGGAGGGCAAATTAAAAGGAAAAAAAACGCCAGGAAAAAAAAAATAAAAGGGGGTTTTCCCATAAACAGCCACTGGGTATAATTGTTCAGAATTTTCATGTCATGACTTAAAACCGTTTGTGTACAAATTAGTAAAAAACTGCGTAAAAATGTCTGAAATGCGACTGGTTAAATGAAGCCCAACATTCAACTCCCAAAAGTAAGAAACACCAGTTGGCTTGCACAGGAAAAAACTGATGCCAACTGGGGGTAGGGGGAGGGGGGGGGAAATAAAAATTTAAAGGCACTGTATGGCGTTTGCCAATGAACGGCAATGAGACTTGCGTGATTGCTCTTCACTATGCAACACATGTAAACCAAAAAAAAAAAAAAATTTTTTTTAAAGAAATGGTGTTTTCATCCACTTCTTAACCTTAGGCTGACTCCCATCTTTCCATCTGGCCACAAGTCTGGGAAAATGCATAAGAGTGAAGGGCCCCTTGTCTTTCCCAACAAGGTCACTGTGCATAGTGCCACTGTGAACAGCAAAAATGTAGCAAGTGCAAAAGTGAACATTTTCTATAGTGATATCCCCAGTGCCTGGTGGTGTGCCATGGTATCCTTGTACCGGAGGTCTGGCACACGTGCTCTCCTTGGCGGGCAGCCTTGCCCCGTGCAGACGGGCACCTCCTCTGGCCCTTCAGGGACTATGAATCCGTCTCCTCTAGCTGGAGTCTCTGTTCTTCTGGTTGCGCATGAGGGGCCGGTGGTTGCTTAAGATGTCCATTGAGTGCTGCCAATGCCAGCAGGAGCGGCAGTAGTACTTGAAGCAGGCCTAAGAGTGAGACAGGTCTTTATAGAGGCACATCTGATTTAAAACAAGTCTAACAATATCGTAACTTAAACTTGAATTAAACAAGACAAGTTCTAAACTTCTATAACAACATCACTCCCATATTTCAATAGAGAACTGTAAGTACAACTGTTCTCACAGAAGAGATTGAACTACAGTTAAGACTCAAGCTGCTTAATTTCCCTTTTGTGTCCTCTCATATACAAACAAGCTTAAAGGATCATGATTTAATTACCAAATTTTACTATTCTGGTTCAGTATAAGACATGGAGTCTACTGGACAGAAAGCTTGACCCAGCCATGCTCACAAACAAACAAAAAGGGAGTAG